GATAGGAAAGTGGGCGTGGTCGAGCTTCGATTAAAAGGCTTCGAAAGTGGTCCAGGGGGCGAAGACCCCGAAAAGTTTGACAATAAAGGGGTTTTAAAGGCTTATTTAATCAAATTTAGAGTCTATTAATATGTAGAAAATAGGCCTACATATAATTGTGTATGTGAATTGTGTATACAAATTGTGCATTTTTTCCCCGACGGCCCCCCCCCCTCGCTGGCGCCACCCCTGTACCAGACTTGTGGAATACTATTATGATTTTTTTTATTATTCACGGTGCTGCAGAATGTCAGAGAGAGTAGATGACCTAATATTATAAAATTAATAATATCGAATTGGTTGATTTTAATAGGTGTTTCAACGTCGTTTGGATGGGATGATAAATTTCTACCGTGGATACGGCAGTTATCGAAGAGGTTTTGGTAATGTCGAGGCAGAGTTCTGGCTTGGAAATGACAATCTTCACCGCCTGACGTCACAGGATGAGTACGAGCTTCGAATAGATCTGGAAGATTTTGAGGAAAACGAAGTATTTGCTACTTATACAAATTTTTATGTCGGTGACCACACGGAAAAATTCCGACTTACACTAGGAGAATATGCTGGCGGCACTGCAGGTAAGCATGCAAATTTATAGGGGTCTTTCACAGATACTACCTCAGTCTCACCATGATTGGGGCTGAGTTAAGGAAATGAGCACTCCTAGATGACCAGAAATGTCACGCTCAGACTACCTGACCCCAAGAATCCGCCACTGTAAACATAGAGACGAAACAAAACAAAATCGGCGTTGTGTAAAGAAATCCCCGAAGATAAACAAATTAAAGTTCAATATAAAAAAAATCACGATGGTTGTAGGCCTATTAATCTCTTTGGAGTTTATTTAACACTATCGATACTAGTATTATATGTCAAACTTATCGGTGAACAAATATAATGTTTATTTAATGCTTTTCACTATTGGTTCATTTTAAAAATGTATGCCTATTGTTGCCTATTATTTTGGATTCAAGTCAAATATTAATTGTGATGTGTGCTCATTGGTTTAGAAATGTATTTATTACTTTTTCCTAACATGAACATAATTGTATTCGCAGGAGATTCGTTTGCTTACCACGGCAATTGTCCATTTTCTGCAAAGGATCGTAACAATAACGGTGGGCGAAACTGTGCCGAAGAACAAGGTGGTGGGTGGTGGTACAACCAGTGTGGAACAGCCAACCTGAACGGACGCTACTTGGGAGGACGCAATGAGCAACCGTACAAAGGAATCGTATGGTATAAATGGAAGGGCGAGAATTATTCTTTGAAGAAAGTTTCCATGAAATTACGACCAAGCTCTTAATTTTAAAGACTATACAGCATATCTAACATTGGTGACGTAACTGGAGCGGATTTACATGAGGAAGCGGTTCTGAAGTTTTGCTTGTTGTCTTTTGAGTCCTACCTCAAACAATGCGTTATTTGTTGAACTTCTTATCCTAGTCTCATTTAGATTGAAGCGAAGGTAATGCCGTGTTCCCACTGTTGTAAAAACGCCATTAAAACACTGTAAATTTTCAACACCTGACCTGTGGTCATTTTTTTTTATATTATAAAACTGATAAAGTAGCACAACTTTAAAAATGTACTTTTTTTAAAATGTGTTTGTACATTATTATTTCGTTTGAACCTACCCCGGCTCTTGGTTTGCGTTCAAATAAAAAAAAAAAAACTTTTGGCCAATCGGTTTTAAAAACCACGAATTGGGAGCTAACTTCTAATTCGGAGCTGATATTTTTTACGACCGCAGAAGATCGCAAACACATGAATTCGAGCCTTCACAATTTCAAACGGGTAACACATTTTGTTTCAAAGTAAAAAAATACTTATTCATAAATGCAGACTAAAACAGCATCAATGAACAAAGAGGGTCTGGATCACACAGCAGCAAGCTAATTCGACCATGGAGTTACTTATTTCTAGATGATTCAACATACCTAAGGTATGTAGTCTTCTTGCCAAAAATAAACACCGTACTCTATGGGAGGTAGGCTGTTCAACAGAATGAGATGGTTTTTGTTTAACTTGTTGTTAAATAAGATAGTTATATAAATTGATGATTTAAAAGCACAAGCGATGTAACGTACTCAATTGTAAGTTTGCATAACGAAATCCAAACAATTGAAATATAATAAAATGACAGTTATTTAAGTTATCTATATCCGATGACAGAAACGTCACAGATGAAGAATTAATATTCCCTTTGCGCGTCCGTTTTGATTGTATTTGTTTAACCTAATGACACATGACACATTGTATACGGTAACTGTTATTATTTTTAATATTTATTTCTATTTTATTCCTTTCAGCAATACAATTGAATAACAGGATCATTATTACATGTGTATAGGCCACGTTTTATTTCAGTTTATGAAGCTGTTATCGTCAGTGACGTATGGGTGTGCAGGGGAGGGGTACGTTTAAGTAGTTAAAATCACCTTATTTTGAGAGCTTGCACCCCCTCCCCCACACCTAATCATTGGGCCTCCATTGCCCCTCCC